TATAATTCTCCTTGCTCTAAAGCCCAAAACATAACTTTGGTATCGATACTAGTCTTACAGTACCGATACCCTCACTTGCCTATGCAAATATTATTGTTTCACAACCCTCAACAAACCCTTGGTATCAATACTGACCTTACAGTATTAATACCCTATCTGTAGTATCGATACCCTACACCATACTCAAGGTATCAATACCCTAATACTGAATTACTTGCTAAAAAAGGGGAATTATCAATATTCTTACGGAAGTATTGATATTGGGACCTTAGGTGTCAATACTCCCTTGAGTACTGATACAAAAAATGGCTATTAGAATTTCAGTCTCGATACCAAGCCCTTTGATTTCGATACCAAACCCTCAGTATCGATACTACTTTAAGGTGTATCGATAATGCTCCTCGAAAACACGATCTTCTGCTTATCTCAAGAACAATATCGATACCGCTTAATGCAATATCTATACCAACCTTTAAAAATTACCTTTTTGGCATGAAAATGCTATCCAATCTCCCTAACTTTACTACTTTAAGGTTTTCCAATGTATTGTTAAGTCTTATTTGATCTTGGGGGTCATAAAGGTGACTTTAAAACATACTAATAACATCAAACATGAAATATACCATTAAAACTTACTTATCATGCTTTAAACTGAACTTTATAGCTTTCTTGCATCTCTAATGACCAACTAAGGGTATGAAAGAGTTGTGAGTGTGATATTTGGCCTCCTTGGTTGCTAAAGCTTATCTCAACTCAACTAGGAGCCACCTTACCTTTATCCTTTTCTTTAGAACTTCACCCACCTCTTTGGTTAATCAAAAACAAAATATGGGTTAGTAACTTGTCTATGGCTTAATAACTATGTTAAAAACACTCCATACAACTCAAATTTACTAAAACCAACTTAAAACACTCGGTTTTTTTCAACTCCCCAAAAATACATTTTCTCAAACCTTACCCAAAACCTAAGAGTTGGGCCCTTGAAATGAAGCTTAAGGGATGAGGATTAAGGTTCTTACCTTGGTTTCTTCAATCTAGGCTTGGAATTCCTTAAAGTTTTGATCTTTTGTTAGCACTTGGAGGGGAAGATAGAATATTGAAGAGAAGATATTTTTGGGAAGCATGGGTTTGGTTTTTCATATGAATTTTCTGGAAATAAGGGGGGTTTTAACCTTTAAAACCAACTATGGGTAAACTACACTTTTGATCATTCTCCTTCTAACTCTCTTTTAAAACAATCAATTATCTTAACTCTTGGGCCAACCTTAAGCCCCAAAACTCTCATAAACTGCTCCAAACTATCTTAGGATGTCTAACTGGCTTGACTTGCGAGTTTCGGGTTGACTAAAACTACTAACCCGAGATTCGGGACATTACAGTTCGTGTGGTCCGTCCTCTTAGAAAAATAAATGTTTCTATAGTCCAACAAGACTAGTTGTAGAACATTCAAGTTTATTATTATAGATACACCAAAGATTATCTTTATCCATTTGATTTTAATATTAGGTTAATAATATTAGATATCATTTAACTTTGGGTGATGTACTGTTCGTACCATTAAATTTTCAATTTCTTCAAATTATAACACTTAATTTTGATTTTAATTCTTATTATATCACTAAATCATTAAATCGTTAATGAATTAGTGAAGTGACTGATAATTCCGATGTGAGTGTCACACCAAAATAACATTGTTTTAATACAAATATCTGTGTATATATATATATTATTTATAATATTCTAAATATAATATATTTTTCATATAAAAGTAATATATATTAATATTATTTATAGTATATTTATATTATATATTAATATGTAAACAAAATAATTTATATATTTATATTATAAATAATACATTGATTTTGAAAAATTAATCTTTAAGTGTAGTTTGATATTTATTTATTTTTGTTACAATCTAATAAAAGCTTAAGTTTGTTGAATGGTTAAGTTCTATTCTTTGTTTTCAAAAGATTCAAGATCAAAATCCTTTAAATGTAATATTTTAATATTTTTTCACCAATAAAATAACGTCGTTTTTTACAATTTGCACGTCAAAACAACTATATCAAAACGAGATTGTTTTGGTCTGCTTGTCACATCAATAATCATTAGTCACGTCACCGCATCATTAACTATTTAACAGGCTGATAATATAATTTAAATGAAAATCAAAGTTAATTGCTATAATAGAAAAAATAATAACTTTAATAATATAAACAATTTTAATGATAATACAGGCATGGTCTACTGTTGTTCCACGCTATTTATATCCCTCCACCTATATTTATTAATTATTAATTTTTTATTTTAGAAAATATTATTATTATTATTAAACAGAATTTTAGTATATACAGTATCCACATGATAAAGAGCATGTATAATACTAATATATATGATTTTAGTATATGTCAAATATATGCGCTAAATTTATAAGGGATACATAAAATATTTTTAGTAGTACAATTTCTTTGGATAGAGTAAAACAGTAACTTTTTAAAACACAGTTGAAGTACAGCGGTTTAACATAAATCAAAAGGATATCGGTGAAGGATAAAAGCTATCGGATTGGCGTTCTCTCTAGCGAGATTTGACATTGAAGGATGTTACTGATTTTTTATTTCATGATTTTGTCGGTACGTTTACGTTTGATCTTAATTTTCGTGTTGTTTTAATTTTCGTTTACTTTTTAGGTGCTTGTAGACTTTGATCAATTTAGACGATTTTGTAATTTTTCTGCAAACACATGTTACTTTATTTAAATATTAATTTAAAACTTTTGTTGAGCGAATATATATATATATATATATATATAATAGAACATCAGTCTATATTTGCTTGTTCTTGAATGGTATAAGTTGATTATAAGATGGTGTTTATTTAGATTTATTTTTTTTGAAAATGTAGTTATTAAAATTCAAAACCGTATAGAAGGATACAATTTATTTTAACCACTGAATTTGGGTTTAAAATCAATTGATGTTGAATGCAGGTAATATTGATTGAGAAATTCTGTTATGTTGTTGGAAATTTAGCGAGAAGATTCCACACCTATGGGGGTATGGATAGTAATTCCATGATGATTGTGATATTCCCACTTTGATTTCGTGATTGGATTCTAAGTCTTAACGTCTTCGTTAAATCACATTTGGAATGGCTAATTAATTTGCATTCGAATTTTTTTTTAATTAATTCTAACATTTGGATAAATAATTATTCTTTTACATTTTTAAAAAATTCTAACATTTTTAAATTATTTGGGTCTTTAGGTGGTGCGAGATTATAAAATTTTAGAGAGTGTGAAATTAGATAATCAATAAAAAAAATACAAAAAAATCTAAAACTATAAGAAAATTAAAAATTCTAAAAGGTACGATCAATATCTCCTTCAGTCCATCCATATCTTCAAGTCTTCACTAATTCATATTTTGAATGCTAATTCATTTGCCTTGGAATTGTTTGTAGAAAAAGGACGTGTCAAACAGAATTTTCAAAATTGAATGCAGAGTAGCAAATTTAATTTCAATGTTTTATTGTTTTCAAATAAAAAGAAAATTATAAGACTAAAACAAAAAAAGAAAAGCATGTGGTCTTAAATGCAACTGAAAGTACATGCGGTCTAATTGTTATCCCCAAATCACCCGCAAATATGGATGGGAAAGAATTGTGGAAAATTCCCTCAATAATTAACCTATAACTCTAAAGGCCCGTTTGTTTTAAAATTGAATTGTTTGTATTGTTCTTCCCAAAAAAAAAAATCTGAATTGTTTTTTTTTGGATAAATTTAATTTTATTACCCCAGGATGCAGAGTTCTTCTGCATAAAAATCCCAACAATGGGGTATACAAAATATTATCCCAACCTTGGGATAAAGGACTGCCTACTTATAACATAATTGGGTGGTCAACACCTCAACGATTACAAAGGTAAACATTAATATTATCTAATCTATTTATGTTCCTTCCGCTTTATTGGATACGTACAATCTCCTTAATAGAGTTCAGCATATCTTTCACACTTCTTTTGTTTCCTTGGAACAGTCTCTGTTTCTTTCCTCCCACAGTGAATAGATTAATGCGCACCAAGCAAGTTTCAAGATAGTAGTGAGTAGGGACTTACCTTTCCAATTACTACAGGCCCAATCTATCATGCTCACCCATCGTAATGGAGGAGTGAATACGCTGGTGAGGTTCAGGATATCATTCCACAAGGAAACTGCATGAGGGCATTCGCTGAACAAGTGGTCTATAGTCTCCGTAGCCTTATTGCATAGTATACATGAGTTGTTAGTAATAATTCCCATTCTAAGAAGCCTATCTTTAGCTGGAAGTCTGTCAAGAAGCGCCATCCATGTAATCATGCTATGTTTTGGAATGTGTAGTGGAAACCATATCAATTTTTGCCATGAGACTTTAGCTCCCTTAACCCGAAGTTCTTTCCATAAGTCATTTGTGTTTGTAGAGCCTGTAAATAAAATAGGGATGGCATTTTCCCTGAGTTTCAATAAGCGTCTGAAACACCAGCTGGAATTTGCAATATCTTTCATGGACATAAAGTCTTTATCCTTTATATCGTAGTTTTTGGTCCAAGCTACCCACAAAGATCCTTCTCCAGCAAGGATGTTCCTGATAAGTTGAATTATACATGTTTTATTCCATGTTTTGATATCTTTTAATCCGATTCCTCTTTCAAATTTGGCATGGCAAATTTTTTACCAGCTGACCTTTGCTCCAGTGGTTGTTTTATCAGTGGCTTTCCAGAAAATCTAGAGCAAAATTGTTCAATCCTGCTAATAATAGTCTGCGGCAGAATTAATTGTCTGCACCAGTAATTTGCTATACTGAAGATGACAGCTTTGATTAATTCTAATATGCATGAATACCTTAAGTGTTTTCCCGACCAATGATGAAGCTTTAATTTGATTTTTTCGATAAGAACTCGCAGTCCTTTTTAGTGAGTTTCCTTGTGACTAAAGGAACCCCCAGGTATCTTACTGGTAATCAACCATGTTTGAATCCTGTTGAGTGAAGACTATGGTCAAGATTTCTGATTGAGATTCCAGAAGTATATAGTTCACATTTGGCGGCATTAAGTTTAAGACCATATATTTCATAGAATTGGTCCAGGACGCTAATGACTCCACCAACATATTCGATGTTTCCTTTACAGAAGATTAGTAGGTCATCTGCAAAAGAAAGGTGTGTGAGGCCGATCTTTTTACATTTAGGATGGTATCCAAACAAACCTTTAGCAGCAACCATGTTGAGAATTCTAGAGAGCACATTCATTGCAAGAACAAATAGGATTGGAGAAAGGGGGTCACCTTGTCTAATTCCCCTTGCACCTTTGAAGAAGACAATCAAACTTCTATTAAAAGAAATGGAGTATCTTGCTTCAGAATAATAGGTTTCTATCCAACCAATGAAAGAATTAGGGAGCTGTAAAGCCTTTAGGATGGAAGAAATGAAACCCCAGCGAAGAGAGTCAAAAACCTTTTGTAGATCAATTTTCAAGGCACATCTTGGAGAGATAGATTTTCTTCCATATCCTCTCACAAGTTCTTGAGCAAGGAGGGTGTTGTCAACAATATTTCTTCCTTTGACAAAAGTTGATTGGTTGAGAGATATTATTCCTGGTAGTAATGTAGCCAACCTTTTGACTAAGATCTTTGTGATTGTTTTGTAAATTACAGAGCAACAGGAAATAGGCCGAAAGTCTCTAACATTATTGGGATTAGGGACTTTTGGAACCAACGCAATGGTAGTAGCATTGAACGTCGGAAGGATGAATGTCTCTTGAAAGAAGTATTTAATAGCTTTTACAACGTCATCTCCGACCACAGACCAGGATTTTTTTGAAAAAGATTGGAGTGAATCCATTAGGGCTTGGAGCTTTGTCATTGCTCTGGTTGAAAATTGATTCTTTAATCTCTTCACCTGCAACTTCCTTGACAATAGTAGAAGAATAATCCAATGCTAAATTAAATTGCATTAGATCTTTCAGAAGATTGGGATCACAGTTTTTTACCCTGGGGTCCATAGAGCCTAAAAGACCAGAGTAAAAATCAGTAACCTCGGAAGCCATTTCATCAAAAGATTCAAGCCTTCTACCTTGGTCATCAACCAGAATCCGGATGGTGTCTCTTTTGTGTTTTCCTAAGATAAATGAGTGGAAGAATTTTGTGTATTTGTCACCCTCCTTTAACCATTGGACTTTGGCCTTTTATTTTAAGAATATTATCTCTGATTCTTTAAGAGATAAGAGCTCATTCTGTAAAATCAACTATTTTCCTATAGTGCCTTGTCCACTTAGAGTTGATAGTTGAAGTTGTTCAAGATCTTTTTTCTTCTGACGCATCCGAGAGGAAATGTCACTATAACATTCCTTGTTCATGATTCTGAGGCATGATTTAAGACGTTTAAGCTTTAGGTAGAAACCTTCATCGAGTTTCCTTTGATGGGCGATTGCCATGATTGCTGAACTTCATTTAAGAAATTAGGATGAAGAGTCCAGAGGTTGAAAATTTTGAAAGGTTTTGGTCGGTCAACTTGAGTCTCTCTGCTGATCCAAACTAGTGCCATGCAGTGATCAGATGCGCCAGGTGCAAGGAATTCCACAAATGAGTTATAGAAAGTGTTTACCCATGTTGGATTGATAAGTACCCTATCAAGCTTCTTTGCAAGAAAAGTGTGTTGTTGTTTGTAACTCCATGTGAAAGATAAACCAAAGAAAGGATAGTCTTGCAGGTGGAGATATTGAGTGAAATCTTGAAAATCCTTCATGTCTGATGTTAATGATGGACCCATGAGCTCGTAGTCTGAGATTTCCTTCTGTTGCAATATGACGTTAAAGTCTCCTCCTATGATCCAAGGTAATGATCCGAAATATGTTTCCAATTCACGTAGGTGTTTCCAAAGATGTCTTCTAATTATACCATCATTGCTTGCTTAAATAGCTGTAATGATTAGGAGAACACCCTTAAAAAAGCCTCTGATGGTAATGGACTAAGTTGAAGCTTAGCGGAGAGAAATGTGTAAGCCTTTTTTCCAAAGAATCCAAATACTCCCATTTGAAGCAAATTCGTAGTTTGAACAGGTATTCCACTTCGTAAATTTGGAATTAAAAATTTCCACTGATTTCTCCAATTTGACATGGGTCTCCGGTAAACACAGTATGTCAATATTATTTTGATAAGCCCTTTGCAGGACTTTTCCTTGTTTTAGAGGATTATTTAATCCTATAATATTCCAGAAACTAATAATCATAGAGTAGGAGGGTCTGTTGCAACCCCATCAACATGACTTGTTGGACTTTTTGCATTTTCTAGGTGAGCTTTCTTTTTGAATTTGAGATAAGTAATCAAACCTGCTATACCTAGAGAGGTTGTTTGAATTCTCCTCCCTTGGTCTTCAATGATTGGTGGATTTTCATCCACTTGTTTGAGCAATTAAAATCTGTTTTGTGATCCGGTGAGTGATCCTTTTTCTTTTACTTTTGTTGGTCGTCCTCTTCCCCTTTTTGGAATTAAAATGTTGGCATTTTTTCGGTTGGCCCAAAAGAGTCGGTTCTTTCCGGCTCATGTCCAACTATTGATTCATTGAATGCACATGGCTTGTCAGCGTGATTATCTCGCTCCAATGTGGAAGGTAGGGACGAATTTAATTGATGCCCTCCTGAAGAAAAATAAATGTTTGTATTGCCCGTCCTTTTAGAAAAATAAATGTTTGTGCGAATGTAAATGATTTGAGTTTGAAAGAGTAAACTTATGTTTTTTTTCGTTTATTTATTTTTTTAGAAAATTATAATCATTTGACATTCATTTATAATTTTAATAGTGTATTTGATGAGTGTTTTATTTTGTTAATATTTTGTTATTAATTAAATTGTGTTATCTCCTTTTATAGTGCTAATTTGGGTTATTTTGATTTGAATTTGTGTAGGACTCTATTTTTCAGAAAATAACAATTAAAAGGTAAATTAAACAGATTTCCTACTTATTTGGGAAAATCGATGCTAACTCAAATTCAAAGGTCGATCTAAGCACAAACTCTAATTAAATATTCTAAGTACCAAGATCAAAGGAGGAAAGCAAGGGGAACCATAACTCTTTAGGAATTTAAAAGTTGTAATTGAATTCAAACATTTGAGACTTTATTAGAAATTTAGTTTGCATAGAATTTTTAATTAAAAATTTTAATATTTATTAATTACGATTTTTAGTTTTTTAGAATTAAGAGTTTGAATATTTTAAGAGTGTAATCACCATTTTTCAATCTACCTATATATTATTATTAATATTATTATATTATATATACTATTATTATTTATAAACAAATAACCCAATACATATATAACAAGCCGAAAAGAAAAAAGAAAAAATCGAGCCCCTTTACAAAATAAAACCCAGGCCCCTTTACAAAAACCCAGACCTGAAATACCCAAAATAGGACCCAACCCGGAGCCCAAACCCGACCCAGAGCCTACCCTAACCTAAACCTAACCCTAGTGCAACCATCCCCAATCACCCCATCAGTAGTCACTGATTTCTTCCCCCAATGCAAGAAGGTTGTTGTACACACGCCGCCACTACAACACGCCACCACCCTTCAACACTCTAGGCTACCTGCAGAAAACAGAATGCAATAAAACAAACTTGTAATTATTTTTTCCTCTGTAATGGGTATAAAACCCCAAGAATAAGTAGTGTACAAGGGCTGGTTCCCATTTTTTAAAAGCAATAAAAGACACGTTTCAAGGTATTAGTTTTGTTTTATGTTCTTTAAAGATTCGGATAAAAAGGTTTTTTTTAGTTTCAAACAACATAAAAAACCCTTTTTGTTTCGAATAACCAGTAAACAACAAGAGTAGAAAACCTATTTTTTAGTTTCGAGCAATAGTAAACAAAATAAAAGAAACTTTTTTAATTTCGAAATAAAACAACAACCAAGTCTTTTCACAGTAAAAAAAAAGAGAAAAAAAAGAAAGGAAAAGGGTAGATTCGAGTTTACTAAAGTCATAGGGGGCTTCGTCGGAGGTCATTAGAGTTGGGGAAACCGAAAGGTATAGGGAGGTTTTTCGGGGTCTTTAGGGAGTTATTTGGTATTTTTAGCTCAAATAGGGCCATAGGTTAGTATATCTGGTGTTTTGTGTCTTTTTTTTATGTTAGTTTAGGAGTTTCGACCGTCGCGTGTGGCAGTCGGAGCGGGGTGCGAGGCGATCGACCGAGGGAGAGAGGAGAAAGGGGAGAGGATATTTTATGTTTTTTTTTAGTTTTCAGTGTAAAATGAAAAAAGAAAAGAAAAATAGTATATATAAAGAGAGTTTATGGTAAAATCACGCTTAGGTCCCTCTAGGTTTAGTGTATTTTTATGATTTGGTCACCTGTATGGACCAAATTTGTTATTTTCCCTTTTCCTTGCATGTTATATAATTTTTGATATATTCACTGTTTAGTCCCTCTAACTTTAGCGTATTTTTGCATTTTGATTATCTATGAGGAGTGAAACTGTTATTTTCCATTTTCCTTGCATGTTATAATATTATTGGGTTATTTATTGTTTAGTTCCTATAACTTTAGCGTGTTTTTACACTTTGGTCATATGTAGTGATTGATTGATTTTATTTTAATTTGGTTGGACTAATTTTGTAATTTTCCTAATTTTTGTTTAATAGGGTATTTTAGGCTTATATAATAAGGATATTTTATTTTAGGTCCCTTAAACTTCCGCATGCTTTTACATTTTAATCACGTACCTATTTTTTTTGTTCAAATTTGGTCATTAAAATTTAATTCGTTTTAATTTATCCCTTATTACATGTTTAATTTGTTTTCTTTAATCCTCGTAATTTTATATTCATGTGATTTAATCCTCATTTTATTTTTCATTTCTTTGATGTTTTCTTATTTATTTTAATATATTTAATTGTGTTTGTTATTATAACTAATATTTCATAGTTTTTGGTTATTTAGTTTTTTAGATTTCTTCCTTAGATTAGGTTAATAAACCAAATCGAATCTAGTAATTAGGGCGACACCTTAATTTTAATTAGGGAGCAATTCGAACCGAGTTTTCGTATAAGATGCACGATTCCTCAAGTCGATTTTTCAAACTTTTAAATTGTTAATCATCGACTAATTTTCTAAAACTCTTTTAATTTAATCCCATAATTTCTAATAGGTTAATTTAGATATAATTTAGAAATTTGATTTGATTAGTCCTTAAATTTTAAGAGTTATTGATTTAGGCCCATGAACTTCTAGTCTCTTAGAACTAGATATTTTAGATCTTTGACCCCTTTTTATCCTTGAACTTTAATTAGACTTTTAAGATTAACATACTCAAATAGGTTAAATAGAGCCTCCACTTTTAGCTAGATTTTAATATGGTCCTCTTAATTTAGGAATAATTTGAGTCGGAACACGCCTAAATGCTCAAGGGACCATCTAGATTATTCAATTCTATAATTGATTAAAAATTAAATAGGGTTAATATTAGAACCTATATTTCTAGGTTTGTGCCTTTAGGTCCTTTTATTCTTATAATTTGACATTTTAGGATAGAGAAAGCCTTAATTTACCCTTAGCTTAATTAGGATGAATAAAAAATTTTTTGATTACATTTTATTTTTAAACCTAAGGCAATGTTAACTTATTAGGGAATTAATAGTATATATCCCGCAAGTATGCTCAGGAGGTGACTACTGGTGATTCCCAAAATAGGTCGACATCCTTTTCAAAATCGCATCATGATTTCTAAAATATTTAGACAATATTCAATTATTGGGCACAAAAGATGATCTCCTCCATTCATGCTAGGTGGTGAATGCTATCGGCCTTAATAAACAAATACCCTTTTCGACTTTGCACCCAAATGATTTTGAAATTAAATAAAGTTCAAACTCAAAATTTTCGATTCTAAATATAGGGTAATAAACTAGGTACCAATTTTTGGGATCTTGTGGGCGTGTTCATCCTTCCCCACGCGTAATCGACTCCCGAACTTGATTTCTGGATTTTCGCATACCTTAAAAATTGGTATTTTGATAAAAAGAAAATGTTTTGTTAAAATCATCTAGTTTTTATGGTGTCCTAATCGCACCATAAATGATTGGTGGTGAATCCTCACATTTCAAAAATTATTTTCAAAGAAAAACCCCCAAGTCGGTACGAGGTTTTCCCCGCTCGGACAGAAAACAGTGTCGACAGTTTGGCGACTCCGCTGGGGAAGCTTTGTTTTAAAAATAGCTTGAGAGTCGAGCCACGAGTTGTTTACCTATATTTAGGGTTTTGAAAATTATGAGTTCAATCTTATTTTAATTTACAGTTGATTATGTTATTCCAAAAGAAAAAAGATTTTCTCTATGGTTAATGCTTACAATTTCGTGAAAATTTTAAGGACTATTGTACATCATAGCTCTAGAAAGCATCCTAAGTTGCCTATCAAATATTGGATCATAGATAAGCTTTTAGTGGTGTGATCCTCTGAGTTGAATCTGATTTGTAAGTCTAGAATGGGCCAAAATCGAGGTCAACCCTAGAAGGTTGTATTGATGGCTTAGAAACCTTTGCTAAAACACAACCACATATAGAGAATTTAGCAAACCTACCCCGCTAGAGCCATGTGGATAACCTAGGAGAACTAGAATGCATGATGTTAGGATTTTAATTTTCTCTAGTGTGTTTTACGTTTGATTTCTTTAAATTTTTCTAGTCCACATTATTTATTCTTTGAATTCTTTGAACTAATCGAATGTTACTGACCCATCTCTTTGTTTTTTGATTGCATGTATCATTTTTATTTTCATTTCATAACATTGCATAGAAGCTATTGATTCCCAGATTAGCTGGTTACTATAAAA